TCCGGGAACAATTGCAGCGGAGAGATCTTCATCTGGACCTGCTACGTAGGAAGCTGTCGCTTCAAGAGGACAGCGTGAGAATGAAATCGTTGCTCCAAAGCGAAAGGGACGAGGCGAACCTTCGGTACGTTACTCTTAGCTGGGTGAATCCCTCTATCGGCACTGCAGAACTCTGGAGGGAGAATGTTTGTTCGAAGGGCGAGGAAGCTGTCGAAGCAAACGGACCGGCTGCAGGTTCAATTGTCGGAGGAGAAGTCGAGGAATCGCGAGCTTGGCGCGCAATTGACGGAAGCCGCGGATTACAAGGTGAGCGGATTACATTTCAGCCAGACGACGTTTCTAAAATCGTCCAAACAGATAGCCGCGTTGGAGCGCAGCCGGAAGATAGAAGAGCTTCAGAAACGACTGGTCGAGAGCGAGATGTTGAGGACTCGGTGCAACAGGAAGTTGACCGTGTTGAAGGAACAGATGAGAGCGACGAGCGAGACCGCCGAACAGGAGAGATCCATCAACGATCATTCTGTGCAACTCCTCCGGGACGAGCTCAAGCAGCTCAAGCAGAATCTTTCCCAAGTTATCAAAAGGGAATCCCAAGTACGGCAAGCTGCTCTAACCCGCGCTTCGGTGCAGATCGAAAACGGCAATTTCCTGTTTCAGCTGCAGAGCTTCCGTCTCTCCGTGGTGAAGTTACTGTCGGAGCCAATCTGCTCACCCGATTACGAGATCATTTCGCGGCTGCAGAAAATGGTCGCTGCTCACCGTGACTTCACCATGCTCTCTCGTAGATACGACGAACCGTTGGAGACTAGTCCAGCCAGGTGTGCCAGGTATACCATCCTCCGTTCTCTCGTCTTAAGCCAAGTTAATAACCGCGAGTTAACGTTACGTTTCAGCGTACATCCGATGCATGGGGATGCCAGATCGCCAGGATCGCGATACACTCGTTACGAGGACAGCGGATTCGCGGATCCACCGGATCTTCGCGACGTCGAAGACGAATTCGCCAAACGGCCCGTGCGAAGCAGCCTTCTTCCGTGACGTCGCGACGCGGTCGATAATAATTGTCATTCTACTCGTATTCCTTACATCATAACCAAAGTAGTTGGTTGCGTGACATTGCCCTCCAGTATTTATAACGCCCGGAGACGAGCAGTCGTGGACCCGTGCGTGAGTGCGCGCGTGCAACGCGGTGTCGGTGTATAGAGTGGAACAACCGCATTCCAGGATGCAGACGGCCAGAAAGAGGGAACGCAGCCAGCTTGGTATACGTACTACGTACTACGCGAATCCTTTCGAGCCAAAGAAGAAAACGCGAACCTATTCCCCTCGCAGTCCGTTGAAAAATTTCTCGGTTAGTTATTTCGCTATCGACACTCTATAATACGTTATATACGTAGGTAGATAGATTGAGAAAAAGGACGAAATGAAATGTGCCAAGATCTAGGAGGGCGAAGAATAAAAGCAACGATGCGAAAAGTAGATTGTATCTTTTTCCTTTTTGCACCAAGCCGAGCGTGTGCGCGCTTCTTGCCGCTCGATCCACGGAAAAAGCGTATCCGCGACTGGATCGTGGCAAGACTGGTTAGCCCTGAACTTGCCCAGAAGACTACACGCTACCTCTTCCTCGGCAGAATCAACCTCGGTGAATGCAAACCCCGTTTTGAATCAGTCTTTCTCTAATCAGTCTTTCCACCATCGATCCTACTACCATTTCCCTTTCTTTTATTCACCTGCAACTATTCTTGCATTTCGTTCACGCACTGTTTATTACGTAACGTTATCGCTAATCGAGAAGATATCGACGACTCTGTTTACATACGTGTTACAGACACGCGGACACCTGTGAGGGATAGAAAGAAATAAACTCACTTCGCATATTCTGTAGAGTTAACGAACGAAAGATATATTATACGTGTCAATTTTTACACATTTCAAGTTAGGTAGCCTGGTAATTGAAGGATCGGTGTCCAGCCTGGTGCAGCGCAGATCTCTTACTTCTTCATGTGATTCAAAATATGGGGGAATAGTTTCTTAAATGCAGAAAGTATTCCCGCCTCGGGATCCTAAAAGGGAGGATAAACGTTAGACGTGTAACTTTTCTACCCGTGCAACGAAATACCAGAGTACATTACAGAATACTCTCTACAGATTTCACACTATAGATTACAGATAGAGAACGATCAATATCCGAAGAGATGGAATATGTGCGTAAGTGAATTGTCTGGAGTGAGTGAATTGTCGCGACTTACCGCATCTGCCATAGGTTCAGGTTCAGGTTCTGCGCTGCTCATGGAAATGAACGCGACCATAAGGATAACTGCGACGGTTAGTAAGAATTTCATGATTCTGCTTTTCTTTCCTCTTCCCTTTATTCCTCGGATTTCGCTTTTTTCTGCAAATTCTCTTTGCTACTGGAGAACCGATTCTCTCCCTCGCTTATATATAGGTAGCAGAAGAAACTCGTTAAAATTATCGAGCAAAACCGTCACGAACGGGAAAGACGTTAAGATTGGTGAAATCGAAACTGCCGGTTTATGGGGTACACTTAAGGTGCACATAGAAATCACGTGCACATAGAGGAAAAACAACGATAATAATATAATATAAATAGAATATTTCCGTCACATTGATAACGACGCGTCGCGTTACCCAGTTTACGTTACCATATCTTGGTGCTTCGGTAGCTTCGTCCAGTTCCCTGCGACTTCATGCTATACAACGCGGAAACTGTACGATATTCTCGTTACGTAGAACCGGCATTTTGTCGAAATCAAGCATGCATTCAACTATAGACGAAGAAAATGATAACGACGATTGTTTCTTTCCCCTTCTATTATGTCGAAATTTCTTATTCTTATCTGAAACCTGGCAATGTCAAAAGCCACATTTGCTTTCTGCAAATCGCTCGGGTAAATATAGGTACCGAAGTACCGAATCGAGTCGGGCAATCCTGTACAGCTAAAACTGTTCCAGCTTTCGAACTTTGTACTTTGTAAAAGATTAAAAACGATCGGTAATCATTCTTCAAGCATCGGAATACGGAACGGTCAGATTAGTACACTTGAAAACACAATAAACTTGGTAATTCTTTGAAACGTACTTACATGGGGTTTATAATAAGACTCTGTTGACTGTTGGTCGCAAAAATGCTCGCTGGATATTTTCAATTAGTTACGGAAATAAGTTGCACGGTTGTAATACCGTTTTCTGTAGGTTTTCCCTGTTACAATATGAAAAATCACAGGAGAAAGATACACGTGACAAATACACGGACAGCCGAGTACTTGTTGCGTATTTCAAGTGTAGGATAAAAATGACATCGATTCAAATGTAGCGCATCGTGTGTATTTTCAAGTGTTATTTTCCAGTTATCGATATCTGACTGGGGGAATTGGGAGCTAGGTGATACTCTAACAGGGGTATTATCAAAGAAAACTGGTAATTGATTTCACACCTTTTATATCTATGTATAACCTCGGTGAATACGACGAAGAGTTTCAACGATGCGATTGATAAAAATTCGATTCCATTTGGAAAGATTAGTTCGTTTAACCAATCGAACAATTATATTGTACATATGTAGGTGTAGTACTTGTAGTACATCGATAGTTTATCGTTCTCGAATTTTTCCACTACTCTATCTATTCGGATATCGCATTCGAAAGATAACGTTACACTATTCTTACACCGTACAACTGTCACGGTACAAGGTTAGGTTCCACGTATGTCTCACCTGATGATTAAAGAAAACGTTATTATAGAAAAAAGCAATTATAGCTATTTCACCGCTTTGTCGAAGGGCTAGCAAGATTAGCTAGTTGCGAAACGAAATCTGAAACATCTACGATAATATCTCTCGGATGAAAGTAAGATAACTGGAAGGATGGACATGAGAGAGAAAAAGAAACGGGTTTATGTGGGGAAAAGCCGGCTAATTCCAGCCGCTTTAATTTCCTCAAATAAAAAACGTCTGATTTGACTCCGACTAGCTGATATTCGCCTTTTCTATCACTATAGCAGCCTTTTATTTTAAACAAATACATTTTGCAACGTCACCATGCAACGGTGACGAATTTTTAAGCAAGGTAAGTTGGAATCGATAGAAATAATTAATATTGGTCTCGTTAAATAGAGAAAATAGAGAAATTCGGTTAGCAGAAAAAGTGGCACCACTTCTAACCGCTACTGTTTTCATTTTCAAGCGAAAAATAATAAAACTCTTTATTAATTTAACAGTTTTCTTACCCCTTTTATAAAGAAAATTCACGGCCGGTAATTCCGGTAATTGGGATGGTAATTCCAGTCGAATCACCTTTTTCTCCTTTTATAGGCCATACTAACACAAACTAAATAGACACTTGAAGCTGTCGACTAATATGTAAAAACTAACAAATCTGAAAATTCCCCTATATCTGATTTTTTGCGCACGTGTAGATTGCGTATCGCTAAGGTAACGATATTGAGTGGTGATTTCCATTCGGATAAGCGCAAAGTTTATCGTGATAAGGTTATAAAGACTATTGCAATTCCTCCAAGTTTTACAGCATTCGCAAGTGAGCGATCGTAATATTAACATCACCGGTACACAACATAATCAGAGAACATGAGTGCGCACACTCTCTTCATCACCTTATTCGTTATTGGACTTGTCTCCTTACAACCGGGTAAAGTATCCAGTTTAATTAAGTATTGAGCTAATTGACCGCGAAACAGGCTCACGTGTCGCGTCATAACCGATCATTACCTTTAGCAATGACGCTTTAGTTGAAAGCGTAATAACAAAATTAAAAAGTACCTGATGCAACATGTTGCTGAAAACATAAAGATATCTTCTACACTTATTGTTAGTATAATGTACAAACAATATACCTACTTTTTTAAAAAGAAAAAAAACGTTTATACTTGTTTATTTATAAATTAGGAAGTACGCTCAAATGCTACCTATGTGATGGATCCAATTGTAGCGCTCTAAACGACGATAAGAAACAACCAGTACTACCACGGAATCACCAGAAACAACCAGTACTACCACGGAATCACCAGAAACAACCAGTACTACCACGGAATCACCAGAAACAACCAGTACTACCACGGAATCACCAGAAACAACCAGTACTACCACGGAATCACCAGAAACAACCAGTACTACCACGGAATCACCAGAAACAACCAGTACTACCACGGAATCACCAGAAACAACCAGTACTACCACGGAATCACCAGAAACAACCAGTACTACCACGGAATCACCAGAAACAACCAGTACTACCACGGAATCACCAGAAACAACCAGTACTACCACGGAATCACCAGAAACAACCAGTACTACCACGGAATCACCAGAAACAACCAGTACTACCACGGAATCACCAGAAACAACCAGTACTACCACGGAATCACCAGAAACAACCAGTACTACCACGGTACCACCAGAAACAACCAGTACTACTACGGGAGCACAACTACTAGCAGTAAATCCCATCAACAACAGGCAACAAAGAAACTCAATTGGTACGTAAACACATGACCTGTACAATTAAATTCATTACAGTTGCTCGTTCAATCGAATACTTATTTTATCGTTAGCATGTGAATTTTGATTGTATGAATTTCAGTAAAGTAAGATACGATATTTCTTTGTAAATAGAATTCCAATTGCGCGTATAAAATTCAATTGTTTATGAAAGAACATGCATGGTCTGAATGCACGAAAGGAGTGCGATTAATTTAATAAATATTCGTTTGATCGTCCTGATTAAAGATCAGCAGGCAACAGTGAAATATAACAAATATACGTATGCATCGTTTAACGCGGTCGATTTGCAGATAAAGGAATCGAGAGGACACGTAGAAGCTTGTTCGCTCGTTTGCAACCGGTACAGGTGTTGGACACATATGAGGGCACAATGTACTGCTTCCGAGGTATAGCACATTTCCTTTCTACAGATACTCTTTTCTGTTTGCCGGACCACTAGTAAACTTCTTTTCCTTCGCAGAGAGCAAGGACGAGAATAGCACGCAGCTGGGTTGTACCGACAATGAGAACTACTGTGACCAAAAAAGTGGTTGCAAACTCTGCAAAGAAGATGGTTGTAATGCTGCAACGTCAAATGTCGTGTTTACATCTACGATCGCGTCTCTCGTAGTAATTGCACTGTTTATGAAATAAGTTATCGTCGCATATAACCGTTATCATTATTATTATTATCATCGGAATTATTAATTGTGCGTGAGATGATACACGATGTGCAGAGTACTCCACTAACAATAAGATCGAAGATGTAGAGTCACAAAGACAATGATCTGGAGAGACAGCAATGGTAAATTCTTGCCTAATTGTAGTGGGTAAAAGAATGCATTAAATAACAGTAGCTGTTAAGCTGAAACGATATTCTATTGTATTGTATATATCGCATTATTGCGTCCCTACTTTCAATTGGCCGATATATAATATACGGTGAAACTGGTTGAAAAAAGATCGAATCGGTATATTTGAATGGAAGGTATCGGTTGGACAACTGGCGAGACAGCAGGGAGTGTGATGGAAGAAGGCTGATTTGGCGTTATTTAAACACGTAGAAGAGAATAAAAGTTTTTCCGTTCAACGGAGTACATATCACGCCTTTGGATATAGCGGGAGGTTGCGCTTTGCGTTGGAAAGGAAATAATTGCTAACGAAAGTATATCGGGAATGGTTAATTAAATGTTTAACGAGCAGTCGTAAGAGCGAGTTGGTTGGACGCGTAAGGGCAACGAACTCGCTACATTCGATACGATCCAGTCGTTCTTCGTTACGTTCAAGCTTTTCCACTCGTAACACTGTGTGCACTTCTCACGCGAGAGAAGAACGTATTTAGCAGAGATGCTTCGTCAACTGCTACGTATATGTAAAAAAGAAAAGGAAAGTTTGATCGGAATCGGTGGTTGAAATAGAAAAGAGCGAAGAAATGGTGGAGCGCGCAGAGAAATGTGAATTGCGCGCGATCACAAGGGAAGGTGGAGGTTTCGCGCGATTGCGCATACGAGTCTGAGCCGCTTTGCGCGCCTCCTCGCTCGCAGCTACCTCTACTTCCTCGATTCGTTGGAGCAGCGGCGAGCGTCCCCACAGCTCGCCGCCAACCTCACTGTCAGTCCACCGGCACCGTTCACCACCGACGCTTCGAGTAGTTCCAATTTCTATTACGCGCGCGTGTTTTCATTCAGCGTGCGCCGTCTATCATCGCCGAACAAGTCGAGAAGAGTAGGAACGAAAGAGGGAGAGGGAGAGGGAGAGGAAGCAAGAGTGATCGTTCTACACTGACAATCGACCATTTCGTTATCGTCATCGGAATATCGAGTGACGCGTCGATTGGTTTAACGAGCCATCAACGCGAATGATCGTCATGCACGATCGGCGCGTTTGAATCGTTCGCGAGTTTACAAGAAACCGCGAGAGAGGATATCGAGAACGAGCCCTTCGTAGACTACCGACGAGGGTGAGTATACTATCTATTTCTCTTCGATAAGCAATAAAGTGGTGTGTGCGTGTGCGCGCGCGCGCACGCGTGTATGCAGTAAGCGCGAACCGTTTGGCGGGAGAATACGACGTGTTTTCGAAGGTGTTACGTTGCATGTTCACCGATGATTGGACGGGAATACTCCTGTGACGAACGTGAACGAAACGATGAGCAAGGGTACAGATAGAGAATCGGTTCCAAGAGAGTTGCGCTCGTTTCTGTATTTCGGAGGAATGAACAGCGGCGGCGGCGGAGGTCCAGTGGTTCCGGCTGCTGCGCTGGTTCGATCGACCGGCCCGTTTCCAGCCACCTGTGCGCGCACTGCTCCCTTCCGAATTAGTTCCAGCCCGTTTTACCGATGTCGGGCTAGCACACGCCTTCTCCTCTCCCCGGAATCGAAGATTTCCGGCCCGCTGGGCTCGTTACGAATCGCCCCAACGAATCTGCCACTCCGCTTAGTTTCCGCTAACGGAGCTAACAAAGCGTTCGTTAACCGTAAATCGTCCTCACGGTGCGCACCAGTCTTTCTTCCGTCATGCGTCCGTCTTTCTTCGCTCCTGCTCCACCTAATTCCTCCAGTTCTCCCCTCTATCCTTTTTACGTGCGTTACTTTCCGTAATGTTCCAACTATTTCTGAGTTAACGGCGGCCCCGTTTCTCGGAACACGAAAATCCCGCTACTGAAACTGAACGCGGGAGCGTTCTTTGCTTTTGTCGAGTTGGAACGTGTTGCGCGTACACCCACATGTGTAGAAATTGGAAAGGCTGTTGCTCGTCCTTACGTTTTACGCTGCAAAGTTGATCGCGTATCATCGTCAGAAATCGCTTAACCATAATCGAACCGAGTCGAATGGCACGAATGAAAATTGGATCAGTGTGTCAGGCACTGGTTGCGTAGACGTGATTCGTCGCATCGTTCGCAGCGATGTTATATTTTGTTTTACATGCTGCGGTATCGTCAGCACGTTTCGTTTCGGTTCGGTTCGGTTCGGTTCGTTTAGCTAGCGAAATGTCTGCACCGTCTCGAACCGAAGGGAATCGGAAGGACACAAGTTTTCATTTCCACACCGTTGTCGTCTTCGCTTCTCCTGACGTGAAATCGCAAACAAGGGTGTGACGGTTTATCGGCATGTTAAGAAATCCTGGTATGTGGATTCGGTCGTCTCGTGAATACCAGTCCGATAACTGCCCACCGATAACTGTTTTCCGTTCATCTAAACATCTATCTGTATCTACAGTTAGCATCGACAAGGCCTCCCCGTCGTCGTTCTGTTGCATTGCTCGTTTATCATTTATTTTTTCGCCGACTAATACGACGAGCGAGGATCGATGCGCGATAAGATAAGAACGGTAGTCGGTAATTATCGACGCGTGATCGTCTTGTATCGAACACACGGGCTCTATTTTCTCGATTGAAAAAGAAAGGAAAAGGAGGAAGAAGAGTGAAAGATTTTTCCACTATTTAGATGATTTGGTCTGGATAGCTGGAGATGATGGGTGAAAGAGTTGGAGCGAGACACGGTGAGCTAAAATGCGAGGGAAAACGCTATCGTTGGTAGATTACGAGTTCAGTTGAAGGATTACCGATTCAAGCTCCGCGCGATGTCTAGCTACGGGCGATTAACCGTGACATCGACCGATACCAGTTAGAAAATGAATCTAAACACAGGTTTTCAGCTTGTTACCGCTCGTTAAAACTTGTCGGGAGAAAAACGTGTTCGAAGCTTGTGTTTAACGAGGAATGGAGGTATGTAAGTATTAGAGAAAGAGGGGACGAATGCGAGAAGACAAGCGACCGAGCAAGTTCCATACATATGTACAGAGGTTGATGAAAAGTAGGCTTGCTCGTGCGGTCGGAGAAATCAGGAATCTGGAGCTTGGCGAGAGTAACAACCGCACGATTTTCCGGATATCCGCTGGAGCTACGAGGCGAAGCCGAAACTCGCGAAGCCAGTTCACCCACGACATTGAAAGTTACGACGGGCGAGTAGAAATCGGCGTGCTCCGTTTTGCCCGACTGCCGCGACGCGTGCCGTTCGCCGCCTTTCCCGCACAGACCACACACTCCGACTCCGTTTCCTTCTCCTTCGTTAACGTTTCGCGCGTACAAACAGTAGCAGCGCGACTTTTGCTTTTGCGGCGCGGTGCGGCGCGGTGCGGCACGGTGCGCCGTGGTAGTTATGCAAAAGTTCCTCTACGTACAAGGAAGCACGAAGAAAAAGAAGAGCAGGAGAGGGCCGTGAGGCCCGCCGCTGGCCAGTTCATCGACCTATCGTCCGGTCTCTCCTTAGCCTCTCGTTCTTCACCTTTCTCTCCACACTTGGACCCTCTCTCTCTCTCTCTCTTTCGCCTCTCCTCTCCTCTCCTCTGCTCTTCTCTTTTCCCCGGCCCCTCCTCCCTGAGTAAGCTCTCTCCTGCGGGCCCGTGCAATCGACCAACAGGAATCTCGTTTCCGTCGCGATATATTTGAAACTGTGAAAAGGGGGTAAGATGTGGTAAAATGATTGAAGAAAGGAATCTTCTTCTTCCTTTTCCTGTTCTTTATCTATAATAATCGTAAGCTCCGGTGCACCTTGTCACGTCCCGCCTCCTGTGTCTACGTTCATCTTTATTTCAGTATCCTTCTTCACTTGTAATTAAGCGCTTACAATTAAGTCTCGTTCTCTTTCTTTTTCCCTTTTTCCTTCTCTTGTCTGTCGAATAGCGCGAGTGGTGCGCACAATTGTCGATAATTGCGTTAGTTCTCATTGTTGAAAACAGTCTGACGTTTCGATTGTCACTGTGAGAATAGCGAAAAGCTGACCATCCTATTCACGATGCTTCTTCGCGCTTGACAGATTTGCACGTGCACGTAGATTTTTTCGGCGGGGAAAGAGATCGGTGTGAGAAAATCTGCTCTTTCTCTGTTTCCATCTCTTTCTTTTCGCGCGACGACTTCGATTAAGATCGCGGCTTCGTTCAGCTCGTTCTGAAGCAGGCTGTTACTCTCGGTCGATTCTAAACTTGTTCCACGATGCCTTCCATCTAATTGCAAGACGTTGGTGAGATAGAAGATGACGAACGTAGGCGTCACGAATCCTCCTTCTCCCCTCGATTCTGGGGAGAAACTGGTCCGCTTCCTCTTGCCGCGACCACGATGCTCCACATTCTTATCCCGACAGGTGAAATTCGAGATACGAAAACATCCAGCTACGCTAGAATAATAATGCACCCGTGTGTTCTCTTTCTTCTCCGAGTATCCGGCAGCTGTATCTCCTCGGCGAGCCTATGGCCTAACGAACCTGTGAACACGTGTGTGCGTCCACGGTTAAGAGGCGACAAAGATAATAAATATTTCTGCCTGTTCGTTTCGCGTTTCTGCTTTTGTGGAACGATCGCAGGATGTGTGCGTGCGTGCGGATTGTTCCTCGGACTGTTCCTCTCGGCTGATTGTGAGTGTTAAGAAAACTGTCGGGTTCTTACGGAAAGGGTGGGGTGGATGGTACACGGTGTCCTTGCTTCTCTCACAGGAGACGTGTGTCACGTGCGAAGACCCTAAAACCTCGTTCGAAACAGGAAGGCTGGCCGAGAAGACAGGTTGGAAGAAGGTTGAATTTGCACTTTGTAGGTCGGCCGGTTCAGTTAAGTAAGTACTTACTTACGTTTCGCGATCGGTATACACCGGTGGCCGTGACCGTGACTCTCTCAGCGTTATCTAACGCAAGCGCGCACGCTAGGACGAAAACCACCGTTGAACCGCGTGGTATCGCATCGCTTATCTTCATTTTCTCGACGCGGTATTAAATGGTATTAAAGTTGCGTCTCGACGGTGTCCGCGACAACTGTAACGGCCGGTTGGTTAGCCTGCCGTTCAGATCCTCGTACGAGCTAATGAATCATTAGCCAAGTCCTGTTAGCCCATTAATGCCTCTTAACCTCTGGGAGTCTGTTTCATATCCGGTTGGCCGTAGCCAGTCGCGAGAGCAGCAGAGACGAGACGAGGCGAGACGAGAGCCACGCTTGCGTCATACGTTCTGCTCGTGAACAACCTTTCAAAGTACTCGTATGTATACGTATACATACTCGCGACTCGAAATCAACAGCCACGCGTAACATCTTCGCGTGTTCGCTTCGTCCGTAGCTTTGTCTCCTCGAATGTCTCGTACGTTTCAGATGCTGACGGAGTAAAACAGCGACCGCTTGATTAACCGTCGCGCTACTCGATGCTCGTTATTAGGGGGTGAAAGATATGGCGGAAGCGGCGGTATTCGAAGGAATCCGCGTATTAAGGAGAGCCCTTAAAGGAATACTTTCGCACTCTTCTCTCTCTCTCTCTCGTTGAACTAGTATAGCAGGTTGAACGGTACGGGCTGGCCCTCGAGAGAGCGTTATTATTTTTCGAGGACGATAACGCACGTTCCACGAACGTGACCGGACTCCTGGTGCCCGTTCGTCCGGTTCGTGGCATTTTGCATCGATGGTACTCGAGAACCGGTGGCTTTTATACCAGTTCCAAACTCTCCCGCCTTTCTGCTCCGGAAATCATTCGAATCAATTAGGTAAAATTGCAAGAAGAATCGGGAATGGTCTGGAATAATAGCAAGAGCGAACAGCAGCAGGGTAGTTTAGTTGAGTGATGAATTAAGCGGTGGTTGTGTCCTCCTGCGAGGCCAACTCTGAGCGATAACCTCGTGGTGTATAGCGGACGATCACGTCACGCCGAGGGCATCCCCTCTTCCAGGATAACCTGTTCTAGCGCCTTGCGTTTCATCGATCCATCCTTCGCACCGCCGAACTGCCCGCCGCTCTGCTGACGCCGCCACCATTTCTCTTCGAAAACTTTCATGGGGAAAAACGTATATACCTAATCACGCGACGCGAGTCAACCTTCCTTCGGCAAAGTCAAGGAACGTGTTGCCGATTAAAACGACTAAACGTGCAAAAGAAGGGTATCGATTGTGGGCGCACGTTTGCCACCTTGAAATCCGGTTGAAAAGACGAATTTTTCCATGCTCCTGCACGTCTACATATGTACCTACTACGTGGCGAGCATATTTCAATATTACGCCTTGCATAATCACGCGCGTCATCGCGGTGTTATTGCGACGAACTCGTGACGCGATTTACTTTACCTTTCAGACTCGTTCCTTGGTCCGTTTCGCGTACAAATTGCAGAGTAGAGGAAGAACGCGCGTTGGCCGATCAACAATTTTCCGCGAATCTCCCACCTACCGCGGAGTCCACTTATCTCACAGGTGGTACCTATTTGCGTTGTAAAACGGGAAACTTGTGTACTCGTAGACGACGATACCACGTCGATGACTAATCGCGTGAGTAAGATGCGAACTCGTGACGAGAATCTCACGCGCGCAACCATCTACCTGGCCTGGTCGTCGGGGCTTCGCGTGTTGTAAAACGAGAGTTAGATTTCGAAGACAAATTTCATCTTGCCTGGTTGATATTCAACCGGAGGGGACTCGATGACTAATCGCAAGTGACTACGTAGGCGGAAACAAATGATCAGCTCTAAATTGATATCGCGCGCATTCTACGAGATAGAAGCTGTTATCTTCCTCCGGTATGCTGACTAAGTTTCTCGCGAATTGCCGATTCGCGCGATATCCGCTCTTATCGTGTTTGTCAACCAGGGGTTTCTTGTTTTTTCCCTCTTTTATCGCACGAGCCAGCGGTGCGGAAGTTGTCTGGAATTTTTCATTCGAGAATTTCCACTTCCTACAACAACGCCCGATTTTTTTCCTTTACCCATTCCGCATATTTATGGTGTAGCAGTCTGGGCAAGCACGTAGTACCTAGTTCGTTTACAACTAGGTGCCTAATTCTCTGCACGATCTTTCGTAAAAGAAATTTGGTTAGGCACGGTCGTATCTCTCTCTGAATTACGAGCGATAATATACGCACAGATGCTCGATAGCAGCATGGCATGGCAAGCACACCACTCGCACTTGGGTATGTGCGTGCGCATATGTATGTGCGGTTGAAACCGAGACGACACGTCCAACGACGAAACTTCGTTTCGGAGTAACGAGCAGTTGCGCGCCATCGGACGCGTCCATTTACTTCAAGTAGCCCGTTCCAAATGGAACTACATACACCGTTGTTCCTTTCCTATTATCGCTGCCGTTAACGATTGTCAAGCCGATACGAGTACGTTGTCGACGGAGAAGAAGGATTCGTTGGGTGGACCGATCTTCTTCTTGTAAGTTAAAGCGAGTAAATTGGCAAAGTAGAAGGGGGGAAGAGAGACGGTTGATTTCTCTGGCCGGGCATGGTTAATGGGGATGACGCCATGGCTCGTTACGGTCGTTCGCGTCTCCGTAATAATAATTACGCTACTCTTCGACCGGTTACACTGAGCTGCTGGTGGTGTAATCTCGCGTTGCTTGTTATCGGTAGGTGTAAGCACGGGAATAGTGAAGCAAGTAGGTATAAGCGTAGCTCGCGGGACACGAACAGGAAGGGAACATGGAGCTGCTATGTAGTACGGACAATAGTGCGCGACGAACAATGTCGCGACGCGGTGAGAACAGCTGAAAAGAGCCGCGCGCACGTCGATAGATCGTTTCAACGCAACGGAACGGCGTGGTGCCGCGTTTGTTGCGCTTGCATTCACGATACGAGCGCCTGTTGCAAGAGGATCAACTCGAGAGAGGTGGGAAGGAGAAGAAAGCGTTCCACGAGAGAGATCCGAAGTAAGTGTCACAACTGGAAAGTAGCGATGGGAATGATGTCATCGTAAGAATGCCGGCAATTTCGCGGAAAGTATAATGTCGATGGACGTATCGAAACTGTAGAGGGTCTCGAAGGAAGACGTACGTGACTTCGCGATGAACGTTCTTAAAATCGCACAATTGGATAACGCAAACTGTTGCAATGGAGAAAAGCGGGACGGTGCAACAACCGTTCATGCCAGGGTCCCATACCCTTTGCCATCGGTGACGGCCACGCAACAATGGCGGCACCCGTCGTGGTCGGAACGGCGATCGACGGCGGTTTCGATAAACGATTTCAGCTGGTTTGCTGGTCCCCGGCGAGATGCTCGGAAGAAGCGGGGGGTATTTCGTACCCACGGCGAACAATCGAGCGTTCGCGTGAGAACGCGAAAAGAAACGGTCCGCGAGCGTAATTATCGTGGGCTGATCTACGGGCAAATAGTCCCGAGTTGTTATCGGGCCGAAACAATAGCGCATCCTCGCCGAGCGTGTTATAATGTGTTATACCGCAGACAATGCGCTTCCGGTGTGCGTTTCGCGTACACGAACCGCCATCTCTCGAGCGACGACTCGATCCCGAGACGATCGCGTCCGCGTCGCGTCTCGCACGAACCACATGCGGGCGTCGTCTATCGTCCTACAGATTCTTCACTTCTTTCTTTCGGCTCTAATCTGATTACTGTAGATAGCACGCGGGGAGAGAAAGGAAGGTGACACGCGAATAGAGGCGAAACAGACGGTGTGGACGGAGCGCGCGCGCGATTAGTCATCCGCGACTAATTCGTTAAAGGCGTCGCCGTGATCGAATTAAGGTCGAACGAGAGTGGTGAGACTTTTCTCGCCTCGATTAAGTGGGTCGTTGCAAATACGCCATTGGCTGATTAGCTCTAGCCACCATCGGTCCACGACCGGTCCATTTTTTCCTCGAGCGGAGAAGAGGGATTGAGAGGGTACGTTTCGGTTTCAGGAAAAGATGAACGCGCCACCGGTATACGCGTCCTCCTGTCCAGCGTTGCAGTCGAACCTGTCGCTGCACAGTTCTTCCTACTACAGCGAGTACAGCGGAGCAGCGAGGAGGCGGCTATCGTCGACAGGAGAGGCGGACACCTCGGCCACGTCGAGCTACGAGGGCAGCGACAGTTCCGAAAACAGCGACGAATCTCGCTTGGAACCGGTCAGCCAGATAGAACGGGAACAACTCGAAACGTTCTTTCGAGGGTTGAAATCTCAGGTAATAAGCGAGGAAGCTTCCTACCTATCATGCGCGCATGTACTTATCAATTGCGGACAGGTGTTCGTCTGCGAATCGTTGGCGAACTTGTACCTAGGAAGCGCGTCGCAGACCGAAAGATGGGAGCTTCGATTCACTGGAATTCCAGTGGTGGTGCTGGATCTTGGGGAAACGCGATCGAGATCGAAGAGGCGGATTCAAATTCTGTTAGCCGAGCGCGGCACTTGCTTCACCCTTTGGAGAGAAACCATCGACAACTTGTCGTCGTACAAGGTAAAGTATACATACATAAGTAAGTAAGTAAGTAAGTAAGTAAGTGAGTATGTACCTGAAATGTAGCTCCATGTAGTTCAGGTTGCTCGTTATTGACGGTGGTGAAATGATTCGGCAGGTGTCAGGACCGGCTTTCCACACGATGTGTCTCTCGTCCGATCACACACGCCTCGCAGGCCTCAGTTTCGACAATCCGAAGGCCGCGAACGACCTCTGGCAGCACATAGAGCGGCTCGTCTCCTGTCCGGAGAACATCAGCCTCTCGGTACCGGGGAAGAAGAAGAAGAAGAAGCCGGTGCAGAAGAAAGTGGTTCTACCGGCGAAAAGCAACATCAGCCAGCCGTGTCAATTTCAGCACGTGACGAGCGTCGACGCAGCCGATCGATCGCGATACTTTTCTCTACAAACTTTGGTCCCGCCTCTCAACGAGCTAGAAAATTCCCTCGAAGCGAATTTCTGAGATGACGAGAAGCCGAACGGCGACCGTTCAAACTCGTAGCTCTCCTCCGCGATCGCTGTTCGTCCTTCCGTTTCATCTACTACCTACGTATTAGGCAAATTTACTTTTCATTTAAGATTATGTACGATGTATGATGTTGTAAGCGAGATTCAATCTTCTCCTCGACAATACTATAGTACGTATGTACGCGTATATTTCGCGCTTTCGAAAATGAGCAAAATCAAACAGAAGCTGGAGAAAGATTAAGCAACAATTGTTTCGCCGATAAGGAACGTAGCGAATCGGTCGTGTTTTCTTCGCCAGCTATACTCTTGAGGATTAAATTGGTAGGATTGATTGGACGTGCGATCACTTGGAGAACGGAGTGATTTCTGTCTAAAGAAATTCTTGTCCCCAATTTTCCACCTCTGTTCTACTTGTATGTATCGTATGTGCGTATGTATACCTCGAGCTTCGCTTGAAAAATTAGCGGTAAGAGATCCTAAATGTTTGCACGTAGCTACGGGGTGTGATAAGGTTTTATGGAATTGTTCGTTGTTCGATCTGTCGATCGTTCCGTTAGTTCTGGTCTCTTCTCGACACGTCGCGATTTTTCGACGCCACGCCAGATTCGCTGGAACAATTCCGCCTTGGAGCTGGACGTTGTTGGCGTGGATAGGTAACGCGACTCTTGACGAAGACCGCTGAAAAGAAAGAGGTTTTAAACTGTGGCAGTCGAAATGACGATACTTCCAAAATGATTTGAAATTTCTCCACCGGTTCGCGGACAGTTTCGAAGAGCGTGCGATCGATTCGAGAAAGAACCGTGTGCGACGATTTCTAGACAACTTCTCTATCGATTATAATGCATTGAGTTCTTTGTCCACGACTGTGATATAAATGTATCTGTATAGTTACGTTTCGTAATCTGTATCCGTATTGATTAACCATTTTGATATGTAAGTTTACCAGCATCGTTTCGCATGTAATAATTATGCCAATAAATATTCTAATAAGTTTCATTTATCGTCGTTATTATTCGCGTGCACGTGAAAAACCGGAGAACACTTTTCCCGCGTAACAACGCCGTTCAGTTAGGTTAGGTCAGGTTAGTCCTCTTCGTTTTCGTACACTTGGATCCGGACTCTGGACAACAACCGACAACCACCGACGATCCTTGGAATCTCGTGCAAACATAGTGGGAAACGTTACACGCTTTGCCCGCAACTGCCGCCAGATGGAAGCACGAAGAGGACTTTTGC